GCGTCTATTGCTATGGGATGTGTCCTATTCCTACATGCAAGACTCAGAGAGATCTTCAGGGGCAACGATCGTGAGAGAATGGAGTACGTTGGTGGCGACAAGACCATCGTCAGGGAAGTTGACGCACAGCTCAACAACCTCAACAAGGCATTCCCTGTCATGGCTAAAGCGTGGGAAATGAAACTACCGGCCATCAATATGTACGCCATATCCGTTGCACCGCGTGGCGAAGAACGTGCCAAGGAAGCCGTGAATCGCCTGACGTGGGAATCGTTCATCGTGCTTCAGGACTACCAAACCGCGGATGAACAGCAACAGCGGGCCTTCATCAACAACTTGCAGCACTCCAAAGATGGCACCAAGAAGTTCATCGATATCTTCGACGAGGATTTCGTCGAAGCAGGGGTACCAGCATGGTGGAGGATCTCAGGGAAAGCATACGCTGCCCCAGAACCCAAGGCTACCTAGCGCCGGAAGCAAGCAGCATGGTGTTCCGCCAAGCGCGAGCTCCAGCAGCGACACCGCTGGTCGTGCACCGTGGTGGTCTTCATGGCAGCCGACGGGGAAAGAGCATGATGATGGAACGGTTGTCAACGCGACCATCCAAGCGATCCTGGAGATTTCCGCAAAAGGGGAAGACGACCGATGGGTCATGCCGGAGAAGCATGACGTGAACGAATCGATCACCATCATCGAACAGCGCACTGCTTTCGGCAACCTCAACATCGGGGTTAGCTTTGTGTTGCACAGGAAGTCCGGAGTCGTCATGCCCACTACGAAATTTTGGACCAGAAGTCAAAGCGGGGAAGAGCGCATCTTACTGGGAACGGTATTTGCGGCATCTGGTGGCAACGTTGCTCATCTTCGACGAGAGGAGAAGAGCTGACCGCATCATTCTTGGTTTTCTGGCTTCTCGGCTTTGGCTTCTTGGCTTTTTGGCTTCTTGGCTTTTCGGCTTCTTGTTGGTTTATGCGGCTTTTGGTGGTATTTTGGCGCTTCGCATCCTCTGCATTCCCAAATCCTCTCCGGCAGGTGGACGTCTTCGAACAGCATAGGGGGGCGGCTGCCGCCCGGGACGCCCCCGCTTTTTATGTTCTATCCCACCCTTTCTTGAATCGTTGCACCCCTAATTGAGTCATCACTTTTTCGAACATCGTGGGGGAGCTGCCGCCCCCCCCCCCGCCAATTGATAGACTTTTTTTCAGAGATTCACTTGCGCCCCTATTTGAATCATGAGTTTTTTCGACTCCGCCCAGCCGCCCGCTACTTCTAATTTAGTTTTACCCATGATTTGCTGGTGAATTGGCATGCGGGGGATGTTGAAAACTATGCTGGGGATGTTGACGGACTACGTAAATTTCGTGAGAAAATGCTGTAGAATACTAAATTTGAAAACAACCACCAACAACGGGGGGAAAACAAAACAAAATAAATCCGCACCCATGTAAAAAGCTGTTTGTTCGAAGGAAAGGACACCACTATTTTCACTGTAATGCCACAGTCGTGTTCTGGTGAAGCGCGTAGGAACCTGTATGAAGCTGTAAAAAGCCTGTTACGGGCGCGAGGACGGCAACGTGCTGAGCCGGCTGAAGGCCTTCGTGCGGCTGCTCTGCTCCCGTCGCAAGCGCGGCGAGCTGGAGGAGTACCCCCGCCGGAGGCCGGGCACTCGGCGCATCAGGTAATTTTCGGTATTCCGAACGGCTACGCTGAGTATACTGTATACTGGCAGTTCGGTGAATTGAATTGAAGTGCACGTGGGGCAAGTGCCGCAAGTGCCCCCATTTTGGTTTTATCCCCGCTTGGTATGAAGGGGTTGCCGCAATTGACAGCTGCGTGACATGGGTTTGTCTCCAAATTAGGCGACGTCAAACATCGTTTTGTACATCCTGAGCGTGCGCTTTTCTATGGTTTTTGTTGTTAAAAAGACACGATATGTTTGACACTTTTCCCAAGAACGCAAAACATCTCGAGAAAACCAAAAAAAGACACACAAACAAGACTGTGGCACATGTCGGGGAAGTCTTGCTTTTTTTTGAGGTTTTTCACATTTTTCCCAAACACACAAAAACAACCTCTGGCTTGGGGGGGCTAGTCTTTTTCTGTTTTTTGTTTTTTTGTTTGGTTTTCTCAATGTTTTTTGTATTTAGTGCGAAAAACCTTGAGACAACCAACAAAAATAAGACTCTGTCAGCTGTCCTGACTTGAATATGTTTTTGCTTGGTTGTCTCGAGGTGTTTTTGTACTTTACCGTTTCCGGCCTGTTTGCAAGAGCTTCTGTCATCAAGTGCGCTTGTGTAGTTCACATCCAGGCCCTAGCACAGTGAGCTAGAGATGGTTTCCTCTGGTTTCACTCATTCCTTATTACATTCTTCTTAGTTTTGATTAGAATTATACAAGTAGAACTTGATAAATATATCAGGTAGAGTTCATAAGAAAGAAATTAGAGATCCCAAAATTGTTCAGCTGCTCAAATGCCTACTGATCTGCAAGGACAATTCTATTGGACAGGACACCCTGTGTAGCATCCATTTTGAAATTTTTGAAATAGAGAAAACATTATTTAAGTTCTACTTTTCACTATTAAATTATTTTTCATGTGAGATAGGAATTAAGTAGAACTTGACAAATATATTGAGTAGAATTTGGAAGGAAATAACTTAGAGGTTCCGAGCATGTTTAATACATGTTGTTTAGATGCTTACTGATTTGTAAGGACAGTTCTATTGGAAAAGGAATTCCTGTGTAACCTTTGTATTGAAATATGGGTCTTCATAATTGAAAATCCAATATAGATCATAGAATTTGATTGGAGTCTGTCCTTAATAATTTCTAGTTAATATCAGTTAGGCATTGGGACGAATTTGGTAAAGATATTCGGTAGATTTCAGAAGGAGAGAATGCAGAGGTCCTATTGTTTTTGTTTACTAGCCCAGAACTGTCATGGTCAGAAACCACCGTAAAACATAGTGTTTGTAGCGTTTTTCATACTCAATTCACATCTCCACCAACGGCCGCTCTCTAATATTCAGTTGGAATTCGTAGGATTTCAATAGGACCCAAAGGAAATACCTTGATCAGACTCCTACTGGGAGTTGCATCTTACATTTAGAACGCAGAAGTAAATGCTTTTCCCAATAGAACACTGGAGTTTAGAAGTCATTTGATAAGGAATGAATCCAAACACAACTCCTGTTTCATAATGGAACTTTAATTAGAATAAGTCTATTTTGATTGATAGTTTACACAGTATTTCTTTCCAACCGAATCTCTTTACAATTCAGCTGACATTTAAACACACATTATGCAAACATTGTTCAACTCGAGCTTCCACTCAAAAAGTGGGAAAACAAACGCACGCTCACAGTGTCCCGCTCTCTTCTTTCAAAAGCTCCGTTGTGAGAGCCCACAAGCTTCCCTGCAACAAATCATGCGCCTGTAGCCAGAATGAGGACACACAAGAAGGAGAAATGGCAAAAGAAGGATGAAGTCAGGGCCGCTTCAGGTGTGGTTTTGCCTTGAGCCGGCCAACCCTGTGTGGTCCATCAGCTTCTCAGCCCACTGGCCAGGCGAATGACAAGTGTCACATTTTACAGCAGTCGAGATCGACCCGGCCTCAACCTGAAGAACTCGCTTGAGCCTGAGGGCTCTTCATGGTGCATTGCTCGAAGCGATTGATGGCGCTACGTACGCAACGACAGGAGCAGTTTGGATATTGACTTTGGTCGCCTTAGGTCGCATTGAGCTCGTGCGCGTGCGCATGAAGCGCACGAGGGCAGCACTGCATGGCTAGTTCAAAGGCTGCTCACTCTTCACAGGAAGCTGACCCAAGCCAACTCAAGCGTGTTTGCGCGTGGCTCGAGCTGTTTCAGCCTTTGCTTCAGCTGCAATGAGTGACTGCTACCGAAATGGCTGGCTTTTGATGCAATTGTGCAATCTTTTATTCTCATCGGCTATTTTCAAGAGCTGAGATCAGCCATGAAGCAAGGAGAAAACACTAGCTGCCTTGCCCAAAGTGTGTTTTTGAAGGCATCAGGCTCCGAAGCCAGGGCAAAGCTGGAGCCGTGTCTGGCGCCCTGGCTTGGCTCGCTCCGAGGCGCAGTCTTCGCGGCAGTGTTGTCGTCTGCCCGGCATGGTTTTTTGCTAAAGGCAACCGTCTTCGCAATGCCAGCCGTTGGACCTTTTGTCAGGACAGGGCTTCTGCCTGGCCTTGTCAGAGGTCCTGCAGGCATTCCCTGCTGAGCTTTCATCAGTTGGGAGCCAAGGGCTATTCAGGGACTGGGCTGCCAGACAAGCGATAGAGGGAGGCAAAGACTTTAAAGAAGGCGCGGCACAAGCCATCAACAAGCACAAGTTATCCAAGCCACAGTCCCGACACAAAAACGAGACTGAACCCCTTGGAAACCCCTTTGCAGGAAAGGCCGCCGGAACACTTTTGAGGTGCTCCAGCTGGTTGACAAGACCTCCGAGCTGCAGTCCGGGCTCCGGGCCTTCAGCTCAGAACAGATCTTGCTGGAAATGTGCAATGGTCAAACGAGCCTTTGGGGCTGGTAGGATTTTAGGCTAAGGGCTCCCAATATGTAAACCATGGCGCACATGAAGGGTATTGACCATGGTGCAGATGTGGCCGATTTGACCCGAGGCGTCGGAGCAGAAGGATCGCCTGCTGGGCCGGCTGTTTGTGTACGGGGCCATTCTGCAGGAGGGCTTGAAGGGATTGCGTGCTGATGCGTCAGAGCACTGGGTGGGTGTGGGGCGGGGGTTGAACCATAGCAGGGAATGAGATACCTTTGCTCTGGGTGCCCTTTGTAGGGAGGGTAAATCTTCTCAAAGGGGAATCATTCTCTTTTTTGGTGGGGAGTGGCCTTCTTTGTTAGTCAAACCCCAATGTCTTGGTGGCCGGATGGCAGAGGGGCTCGACTGCGACTGGGTTCGTCCGTGCCGTCGGCCTTTTGCTGACGGATGACCTACGCTCATCTTGGCTCAAGGGCGCAGGCGAATGAATGCCTGCAAGCCGGCGCTGGGTTCAGACATGTCCAGAAAGACCTTCCCCCTGTTGGTCCAGGACAGCTCGCATTTGGCGTCAAGCAACTGCAATAGCTCGCCTCAGTGAGCACTGCGCTGCAAAGTGTGAGGACAAAATTAGCGCGACTGTAGTTTTGCTGCGTCAGGACACGTCTGACTCCGACAATCAGTTCCTTGAACATCAATGTTTGAAGTCCAGCTGTTGCCGCAACAAGCGAGCAGGCTTGCAGTGCACCTTGATGCGTCACGATGGCATGTGCTGGTCGCAAGTCACCAGAAGTGCGCTGCTTAGGCTAGCCCTCTTTGGATTTCTGCAGAATATCTTGAAGGACCTTCTTAACTGTGGGTAGTGTCCCCTGATCTTTTGCAGCAGGCCTGAAGCGATGTTTTGCATGAGGGCTGGACTGGCCATCGGAAGGGCATGGCTTTCAAAGTGCTCTTGCCAGTGTTGCGCAACGCCAGCTGTCCTGCCGATGTGTGTTGCAGCAAACAAGAACTTGCAGGACTTAACCCAGCTGACCAGCCTTGCTGGCCTTTGGGGTGTAAGCCCCCGCCAAGTTGACCTGAGTTTCCCTGGAGCCTTCAACAAGGCCATTGTGGCTCGGCAGGGTGTGGGAGGGTCGGCCAGACTCAAACCTGGAGAAGGAAGAAGGTCAGGTGATTCAGCTTAGGTGGGGAACCGGCCCGACTTCAGAGCTTTCGAGCCGGTGACTTGAATGCATTCAGGCTTTTGAGCGCTTGCACAGGCTTGGAGTCAAATGTACAAAGAACAGGCACTGACTGAGCCTTCTTGTGCGCACCACGCCTGCAAGGTGAAGAATTACCATGAGGGTACGGACATGATGGCGCGGGCGGATGAGGCCAGACAGTCCCATGCACACGGACCAGCATTGTCCTTGGCATGACATGGGTGTGGCACACGGGCGGCCAGAGGCCGAAATGGGCAAGGCAGCAATGGAGCCTCGGCAGGGTTAACAGAATCAAGAAGCATCGCGTGCAGCATGTCATCGTTGTCCCTTCAAGTGGCAGTGACACCCTTGCATTGATGCAAGGAGGATAGCAAGCTGGTTCTTCAGAACGAGATTCGAAGAACGCGGCTTTGACAAAAAAGATAGCGATTGTGGCTTTGAGGTTTGACATTTGTTGCAGTTCATGGTGACCGAACTGTGCTTTGCCCGGAGGTATGCAGTCATCATGAGGGCTGCAGGCCTTGATCCGAATCATAAATCATCTTGGGAGCTAATGCTCAGATGTTTCCCCTGCATGGTCGCTTGGCAGCAGATTGAAGTACCAGTTTTGGGCTAGAAGTTGGCCTGAAGATTGATCCTAAGGTGTTTCCCTTCCCACAGGAGCACCTCCTGCTGCTTGGCTGGGTCTGGATGTTGAGGAATGCGTCGGTATGCCGAGCAAAGTGTGATGCAGCCTTATGCAGCGCAGGTCTCACCACTACTTTGCCCGCGAATATCTCTTTGATAGAGGAGATTTGGATAGCCGTGAATTTGGTGATCCGCTGTGCCTTGTCAAACGCAATGCATCAATGCGAGCATGCTCGTGTGGGTGTGGATGTTGGCGTGTGTGTGTGTGTGGGTGTGTGCGTGTGGGCGTGTGTGCGTGGAGCACATGCCTTTGCATGTCTTTTGGTGGGCCTAGGACGGCAGCAGCGTACAACGTTGTTGTCGATGAGATAGATGGCGAGGCGCTGCTGAATTTTGTCATATCCGCTTGCTGACACTCAGCAAGGTTGCCACTGATGCCAGCGGCGCCTATGATAGAAAGGCCGATGCCGCTACATTGCAAGAGGGCCCGAAAGGGCTCGCTCAAGTTTTGAGTGTGGCTATGAATCTTCATGGTACTAGAAGAAAATCCCCGAGCCTTTTACTGATTTGCGGGTATGCGTTCATGTACAGTGTGGACTCTACCGCGTGTGGGAATCGCCATGCCACGGGGCCCTTGTGAGGTTGTTCGCATTTACAACTTGGTTACTCTTGTGATCTGGGATAAGTCGGGTTCGTTTGCGCGCCATCGCACTGGCCGAAACCTACTTGCATTTTGTATTCTGCATCCACTTTATTTGACCGACGCACACTCGTTTTGGTGGACGAGCAGTTTCTGGTGCATTCAACGGGTTATCAGCCGCATTGCTCTTGCAGTGCGGCCAGCCAGGTCAACGGCTGATCGGACCAGGCAGCAGGCCTACGAAGAGGGGTTTGCAGCTGGACGGGCATCTGAAGCCGCGGCAGAGGAGACCGAAGAGGTCGAGGTTCAGGAGGAGCACCCGTGGTCGGATCCGGATCGACATGTGTGACTCCACGGTTACGTCTGGGTGAGAGAGTCGGACGAGGGTTCGAGGTTTTTCCAGAGCAGCCAGAGCAGCCGGAGCATCCAGAGCAGCCGGAGCATCCAGAGCAGCCAGAGCAGCCAGAGCATCCAGAACAGCCAGAGCAGCCGGAGATCCCTGTGCCGAGACAGAGCATCAGGCCCACATCGAGTACAGACGTGGTGATTGAGGTGCCGGACGAGCCAGAGTTGCCGGAGATCGCTTCACTTGTTGGCATTGATTTTCATCAAACAATCGAGTTTGGCGGGCACATTGCAGATCAGATAGTGCAGGCGATTGTGAATTTGGAGGTCAGAGAAAGGTGCTTTCAGTGTGGACTGGAGGAGGCGCAGGTTCCTGGGGTGCATCGTGTAGGCCGTGTGGAGGACACTGTCATGTCGATTTGGACGATCATCCGCCGGTTGCAGATCTGCAAAAAGGAGCATTCATTGCAGACGACTGCAGAGAGGCGGCGCCGGGTGAAGAGCCGGTGCACTGAGCTCGTGTGAGCCGGTGAAACAAGAGTGCGGCCGGGGGTGTATGCGAGACAGTACCCTAAGCGACCCGGTAGAGTTAGGCAGAGTGATTCTTCTAGGCAACGCATAGGATTGTCAGCAACCAGTAGTTACATAGACACCGGCCCATCCTCATCAACATCCTCATCAACTAATCCGACATCCAGTGAGAATACGAGTGCAGCCCAATCAGCAAACATGGCGTCTCCACCAAGTGGGGATTGCGCAGTTCATAGGTGATGCTCCGGATGACCAGGCCCGCAGCGGCAATGAGCAGGTCCCGTGATGCCCCAATGAGTTCCGGCATCAGTGTGTCTCAACATAATGTCCTGAACGTGGACCACTCAATCCAACACCACACCAATGTCAGTGCCAACCCACACAGTGGAGCCAGCAAAACACTATGAACCAAGTGTAATGTGGTAATGTAGTATGATCCAGCACAGCTAGAAGAGTTCATCAATGCACGCATCCAAGCAGCCCTGAGCACGCAGAGGAGGTTTAGGGGTGAGGCTATGGATTTCTCATATGCAGCTAGGGAGGCTGAGGAGGAAAAGAGGCAAGTCCTGTCCCAAGCTAATCAGTCCATTGCACAAGTGCGTCAACAGGCACAGGAAGCATTGCAGCAGAGAGCATCAGATTCGTGTTTTGATGTCCAGGTTGGAACAGGCCGAATCAAGCCTTAGGGAAATGAACGCTCAGCAGCATAATCTAATTCCCCCAAGAAGGCTGTTCAGCCAGGCCTCGTCCCCAATTCCGGCACAACGCCAAGACAGTCGTGCATCATCGGGTCTGCCAGTGCCACATGCCTCAGGATCCAATAATGACGCGGACCAAGCGTCCCAGCAGGCGCAAGTCGCTGCCTCAAGGCGCGGCGCCATGCCGGGGAGAACCACAAGGAAAAAGAGCAAATCTAGGTGCCCGCCAATTGCTGAGCTTGTAGGGGAAACCTCTGAAAGCAAAGATCCCGTGTTCAGTTCTGGTGATGGTGAAGGCCACGATGACCCATCCTCTTCATCAGATTCTGTTCCCTCTAGTTCATCATCAAATGCAGGAACAATGACTGGGCCCTGGCAACGCTATGAGACATATGAGGGTTCTGTGTACAAGCGACGCAACTTGAAGCTCATCAGGGTTACACGCCTCCCCACAGATGCAACATCATGTAGGGAGTGGCGCAGCATCCGTGTCTCGTGTTGCTAAGTACGTTGTGCCTTGCCAAGATTTCATCACCAGGGCACACTACAAAAGGAATGGCCTTCGTCCCCATGACCGCCCGAATGAATCAACAATGTGCCAGTGGCTTTGGCACGAAACCAAGAGAGTGCCATGCATGTCACGGGTCACGAACAAGGTTAGGGACTCACCAGCAAACTCAAAGAGGCGAACCTTCGAATGGCTGTGGAGTGCTATCCAGGAAGAGTTGAAGGAACGTCGGGAGGATCAGAGTTATGAGAACCTGACCAAGGGTTTGAGGCACCCTCAGAGCACAGTGCGCCCCGGCCTGCCTGCTGATCAGGTGAAGAGCTCACAGCCTGCGACTGCCTCGGATGCGCCAGCGCCCAGCGCTGGCAGAGGCGCTGAAGTGAAGGGTAAGGGAGCTCAGGGTCAGGGAGGTACGAAATCAAAGAAACAAGAGTGAGACTGTTGACACTGCAGTGCCGGCCGCAGATGCCGAGGGAAGCAGGAAACTTGTCTGTGCAATGCGTGTTGCAGGGTTCTGCAACTTCGGTGACAGATGCAAGCATGAGCACGTTGGCCAGCCTGGGTCAGCAGCAGCAAGGGACGCATTCGTGCAGTCCCAGCAGCGGAAGGGTGACAACAAGGAAAAGGGCAAAGGATTTGGGTAAGGGTAAAGGTAAGGGTAAGGACGGTGCCAAGGGTAAGCAAGGTGGTGCGGCGGCAGCTGCGGTTGCTGCTACGCTGCCTACTGCCGCGAGTGCCGGTTCCGACAGGCCTAACCATGCCAAGCCTGAGTCTGCGCTCTGCAGTGTGTGCGGAAGGTTGAGTAGGATGTGGGAGAGCTTCTGTCAGCAGGCTTCCCGAGTGTGGTTGCCAATCCCCATCTTCCTCAGAATGAGTGTGCCGTTGGTGCTGGCGTGCATTGACGGGATGATTGCAGAGGACAGCATCGGATCGCCGCAGGGAGGTAATATTGGACCTGCGGAGCTTGATAATTTCTTGACCCTGGGGGCACAGGTGCCTTCGCATGACGTGCTTTGCCAAAGCATCGCTAGCATGAATGAGGGCGACATCGTTGCATTGTCCGCCATCACGGATGAATTCCGTAACCTGTCAGTTGAATTGATAGGAGACACAGGTGCAGCTCATGACATTGGATCCGAACGGGCCATTCTGGAGCAAGGCATCGATCCCAAAGTGATTGAACATGGAAATCAATCCTGGAGGCGACGGGTGCGCTGGATCTGTGTACAAAAGCACTAGGTAAGATCCAGTTGCATGTGTTGCGTGACTGTCCTTTGGTGATGTCTATTGGACAACAGGTGAAAAAGGGACGGACCTTTGTGTGGGAACACGGACGGGTTCCATACATTGCTCTGAACCGCAAGAAATGCCGCACATGGTGCCCTCTTGAAAATAGATGGCCAGTAGAGTGCGGAACAATGTGCCGATGTTCAACGTCCCCTTGTCTAGGGAGACAGATGGAGCGCAGGCGCAGTTGCCCACTTGCCTTGATCACAGGACGCCGAACGGCACCGTGCAGGAGCAGGGGGGTCAGAGTGGTGATGGCATGCGCGTGCCAAATCTGCTGTGTGCCGTGACACAGACGCATCAGTGTACAACCTTTTGCGACGTGTGTGAAGTGTTTGCAGCACCTGTTCCCGAATCGAACGGTGACGGCAGTGTGCATGCAGAGCATGGGAGCTCAGCACCGAACGGTGTAGAGCAGCCTGGTGACAGAGCCTGGTGACAGCAACGCGCCACCGGACGGAGGTATGCCAGACGAGTGGGTGTATGATGAGTTGCAAGGTAATCTCATCCGCATTCACAGTCGGAAAAGAAGTGGATTGTTCACTCCAAATGGGGTAAAAGGTTGCCCAGTAGTTGTGACGAGGCTCTCCCCGCACAGAACCACGATTGTTGAGTTTGAAGATGGTACCAAACAAACTCTCGATCACGATGACTGGAGACGCAATGGTTCCGCTCACATTCCTCTGCGAGCCAAGTGGACAGGATACACCGTGTTCAAGGTGCTGGAGAAGCCATACGCGCCGAGCCAGGCTTCCGCCAGGAGCACAGATGCGCCTCAAGGCGCGACAACATCCTCTGAAACTCCATGAGTGAGAGGCCGGAAGCACAAAAAGCGGGGGAGCAGTGAAGTTGAGGAGCAAGTGTCGCAAGCCATCCAGATATGCCAAGAACTTCTGGGTGGTGCCACCAGTGAACAAATGAACCGCATTGACCAGACCATCAAGCGGTTGAACGAACAATTCAAGCTCATCAGAGAGATGCACAAGGAGGATGTCATCGCCCCAGTAGTGCTTGACACTCCTAGCAAGCTGATTGAGTTTAGCGCGACCGAGAACTCCACCTTGGGCGCCGTAGCCCAGGGATACGGCATAAATGTTGTTCGACGCACCCAAGGTCGAATGAATGGCTTGGATGAAAACACCGTTAAGCAGCTGCTTGGTCTCGCGCAGAGTGATGAAGTTGTCGACCTGTGGGGAAGCATCCAATGTTCCCCGTGGTCTCAATACCAGCACCTTTGCAAAAGTCTATATGGGAAGCCTTATGTGTCCAAGCTGCAGAAGGCAAGGCGCCAACCGAGGAGGCTCCTGCACAACTTTTGCCGTGTTGCCAGAGCATGTTATGCCAAGGGTGGACGAGTGTCATTCGAGTGGCCCCGGAGATAATGCTAAAGACCAAGATGGGTTTCGCCGTTTATCAGACTCTCTCTGCTTCTCCTTCTATGATCTCCACAGCAAATGCCGTCATCGCATGCGGTCAGCTTGAAGAAAAGAAAACTTCATCCGCTGACGCGGTAAAGGCGTATGTACAGTCAGACTTGCGCAGCCTGCGTGATACCTATGTCCGCCTACCACGTGAGGTGTGGCCTGATGGGTGGGGGGATAGGTATCAACGACCGCTAGTAAGACTGAGAAAATCATTATATGGTCACCCGGAATCGGGAGCACATTGGCAGAAGCATCTCGAGCAAGCCGTGGGCAAGCTGAACGGGATTCCAGTGAGTGGTCACCCGTCCATCTTTTTGTTTGCTGATCGAGACCTAGTCATGACTGTTTATGTTGATGATTTGCTCTTATCAGGAGCTTCTCATGAACACTCTCGGTTTTGAAACACATTGAAATTGAAGACGTTGGTGATCTGGGAAGGTTTTTGGGTAGGCGCCACGAGATAGTTGCAACGGCATCGGGTAAGGGCATAGCCTTTAATGTGAGGGATTACATGAAGTCCGCAGTGGACATGTATCTCGGAATCATAAAGCAGTCGCAACTACCGTTCCTTCCTCGTAGATCCATCGCTGCTGAAGAGTGGGAGGAGCAAGGTCAATTGCAGACCCATGCTTGCGCAGTGCTGATGAAGCTGTTGTGGGGTGCTCGCCTGGGCAGGCCGGACTTGCTAAAGGGCATAACGTACCTGGCAACATTCGTGAGCCGCTGGTGCAAAGCTTGTGACCGAATGCTGCATAGGCTAATGTGTTATGTTGCCTACTCCACAGACTACACTCTCGTCGGACGAATTCTGGACCCTCCAGAAAGCTTGTGGCTTGAGTTGTTTGTCGACGCCGATTTCCTGGGGACAGTGATTCAGCTCACTTGACCAGCGGAGTTTGGCTAAGACTTGCAGGTAGCTCGGGTAGCAACTGGCCATTAAGTTGGGTGTCCAAGAAGCAGACCGCCGTCTCCAGGAGCACAACAGAATCGGAAGTCATTGCATTAGCTCAGGGGCTCTTTGCAGAAGCTTTGCCGATGTGTACGTTCTGGGAAACTGTGTTGCGAAGAAAGATAAATCTTGTCATCTTTGAGGATAACGAGGCCACCGAGAAGGTTGTGCGGTCCGGATACAGTCAACAACTCCGCCACATAACTAGAACTCATAAAGTGAAAATTGCTTCAATAAAGGAGATACTAGATTTGCCTGAAGTGCATCTGCGACATGTGATGTCTGACGATCAATGTGCCGACGTGTTCACAAAGTTCGTTGGAACAATGCCGTACATCTTTTGGGGATTTCTGAAGAAGCTCCAGAAGCAATCCAAGTGTCAAACACGGGGATGAAGCTCCATGAGGGCACTCCCGAAGGTCAACCAGCCAAGAGCCGTGATGTGAAGCCTGTGGGGCAACCCGAAGGCGAGCCACCGGCTCACGTGGAACCTCGCAAGAAGACAAGGACAAAGATCAGAAGGAAGGCAAGTGCTGGACAGCAAGGCAATCCCGCACGACAGTAGAGAGGGGGGAGAAGAAAATCCCCGAGCCTTTTACTGATTTGCGGGTATGCATTCATGTGCAGTGTGGACTCTACCGCATGTGGGAATCGCCATGCCACGGGGCCCTTGTGAGGTCCCCACCAGCACTGCTTGACTTGTATATTTGGCTCAAGAAAAAGCGTGCTGCCCAGGGTCGGGTCGAATCCCTTAAAAGGTCCCTGGGTGTTGTTCGCCTTTACAACTTGGTTACTCTTGTGATCTGGGATAAGTCGGGTTCGTTTGCACGCCATCGCACTGGCCGAAACCTACTTGCATTTTGTATTCTGCATCCACTTTGCTTGACCGACGCACACTTGTTTTGGTGGACGAGCAGTTTCTGGTGCATTCAACGGTACTATCCATCACATGATTGACGAGTAAAAGTCATGCCGTCGAAGACATTCGTTTCCGCCTGAGGTCTCCCAAGGCTTGGCCCAGAAGCGTCGGCAGCGAGCCAGAAAGGTTGTGCAGGACGCGCCCTTTGTCGGCAGCTTTAGGAGCCGTGTGGTAGGTCTGCATGGGCTATGGCTGGGCTTCTTAAGGTGCACCTTTTTTAGTTCACAAATTTATTTTTAGGGGCGGATAAGCCAAATGAAGAAGCGCCCCCATTAAACTAAACATTTGGACTTCCTGACCAACCTCTCTCACTTATATCTCTATCTTATCTGTTTTTGCCCTATTTTTGTATGTTCATTTTATTTATTGTGTTGTCCCTTCATCACTGTATTTCTTGCATTTGTCCATGTCTTCTTGCTGAACCTGTTATTTCCATTTCTTTCCCATTGTTATCGTGTTCATATCCTTTAGTTGTCATTTTTTGCTTGCAACTTTCTATCTCCTGTGGTTTTTCATCATAAATTTCAGGATCTCCTCTAAATATTGGATCAAAGAAAAGTGCATTGGAATGAAGATCGCCCAACATTACAATAAGCGTACCAGAGAAGACAGGTAATGTTCATAAGCGCATGGAAGCTGTAATCAAGAGAGAGGACACGAACTAATGGGTTAGCCTTCAATATAAGATAATACGAACTCAGATCTATTGTTGTCCAAAAGTTAAGAAATGTAAGACTTGCCCCCCTACACACACATTTACATATATATATATATATACAATAGTAGTAGTCCTAAAATAATATTTCCTGCACTTGAAAGTATTCCATGAATAAAAGGAGTGGACAATGGTGGATATAACCAATGTCGTCCACCCACCACCTCCAAACTCTGAGATTAAAGAAAGGATTAGGACAAGATACGAAAGAATCATGACAGAACACAGTTAAACTCTTTTTGCTGCCACTTCACAATCCCTAGTGGATGATTTTCAGGATGTCACTCTAGCGGATCAGCATAGTGCCTTAGAGAGCGATGCGCTTGGGGTTTCTCTTTCGGCTTTTTCTTGCAAGGGTTGATGAGGTTTGGGGAAGGTGGCTTGATGCAGCATGTGACCTTGACTTTTACCTTGAGGTTGGATCGATGGGATACTGTGTTGGGTTGTCCCCACGCTGAATGGATTGATGACTGCGAGCTGGTCTGCAGAAGTTTTCTGGATACCGTGACTGATGTGACGCTTGTCTGCAATGGCGTTCGCTTGCATCCCGAGCTGCCCAAACATCACCACTCCACGTCGCTGGCAGGATTGTTATGGCACCAATCACAATGACGGATGAAACTTGGCGCGGGCCCGAATGAACCACACGCAGAGACAGGCGGTCAAGCATAGCCTTAGGCAGCTTGAAGCCTTCAGGTCGAAGCTCCGCGCTGCCAAGAGACTGTGGGGCATGTTTTTTGCTCTGGACAATGCCGCGGAGTACGGCCATTGGGTTGTGGATGACAAAGCGCCCTGGCTGAGAGAAAGGAACTTGGGCAAGCTGTGCGACTAAGATTCTATTGCCGTGAGTTGGCGGCAAGGTGGTAGGCGCTTGGACTTCCGAAAGCGATTGTCACTTCGAGGCCAAAAACATTTTCAGGAACAACTTCAACACTGCCCTGGATGAGCAGGGCACGCTGCGCATGTTGAAACAGATCCACACAAAGGACTCGCAGTGCCAGCTGAGGAGGTCTGAATTGCCCTGGCTTCCAGGAGCTTCGTGCGCATTTCCATCCTACAGAGCTTTTTAAGGCCCCGCCGCCTGCCGCCCTAATCTCAAAGTTGGCAGAAGTTCATGCAGCTCTTTGGCAAAGGCCTTGATGCCATGCTTTGCCATGCGCAGGGCGAGCTGGGCCAAGTCAGCTGGGCGGATGCTAGGGACCTGGTCAAACCGGTCCACGAGACCATGAGCACCGGAGGCGTGCGTGGCCATGCTGAAACTTGGGTGATGCAAGCGCTCAGCATTGGGATTCAAAAGTATTTTGCTCACCGGACAAGCGCTCACATCAGATGCCAAGACAAGGCTTGCGATGATTCGACTTCTTTGCTTTATTGTCAGTCTTAACCTGTTTGGGGCTTCAAAGGCGAGCAATTCTAAGGGGCCGCACCTGCCTTTTTCGCAGCCAGTTTCGCCCAGCAGGCGACTTGTCCACAGTTTCACCGATGCTGGGAGTCTACAATTGCTTCCTTTCTGCAATTCGCGTCTCATCTTCTCACTTTGGTGAGCTGGCAGTTGCCAGAGTTGGCGGCACGTGTTCATGCTCTTGCGCGTCATTTCCCAAGGAGGCCATCGCTGATTTCCAGCCGAGGCTACAACTGCGCGAAGTCCCCCAAAGGCGAACCGCAACAGATCTCGGACCCGTTGACAGTTTTCGAATTCTTGCAGCCAGGTAGCACTTGGAGATGATAAATTTTTGCCAGTTTCTGTGGACGCTCCGAACTTTGTTCTTCTCCCAGTTGTGAACACCTGCAGAAACTCTAGACATCTCTAGACAATTGTCAGCGTTCGTTCAACAATGTTTTTTGAAGGGGGCTCAGGGGTATACATTGGCTTGCGGAAGCGCACGGCGCTGAGGAACTTTTCCCATCGGTTTTCTCAGCAGGATGCAGCTCTGCAGCCCTAAGTACATGAAGCACATGATTTTCAACTCACAGGCCAAAAAAGGACAATCAACGCCAAAGCCGAGGTGGAGTCTTCGTTCAATCCAGAGGAGTTTCTCCCTGCCCTACACCTACGGCACTACATCCTTGGCAAGTTTGTTTTTTGTGCTTCGAAATGGCTTCATGGACCGGCCCGCTGAGGTGGCTTCTTATAGCCCATCCCTCATCATGGCAGACCATGCCACTACCGAGCAGCAACTTGGCCTCGGATATGTGTAGCACTGCTTCTTAAATGGGACGCCCCAAGACCAGAATTAACGAGTTTTTGTAAATCCAGGGTCCTTGCCAGCTGCAGTCTTTTTTTGAGGTTGGCTGGTCTGTGTTCCCCTCAGGAATTTTAGAGCCGCCTGCGACTTTGCCAAGAGCAAGGGAATCAGCGAGGACTGGGAAGGGCCACAATAGATGAGATCTCGTTGTGTTACAGTGCCAAGGACCAAGCCATGCTAAGGGATTCTGCATGAGCTTCTCGCGCTCCCGCAGGACAAATTGCACCAAGTTGTTCGCAAGGAGACTTGGCATCAACCAGTCTTGTTGCTCTTTGTGGCCGTGCGCCGTCAGAATTACCAGCTGGCGGCTGGGCAGGAGCAGGTGTTCGTGGTGAAGTTTACCTACGAGCCCTTGAACAATGGAATGTATACTGGGCATGGGCTTGTGCAACTTGGCAGGATGTGAGCCACAGCGACTTACTGAATGAACCCTCCGTGTGATCAAATGAAGCTTCCAAGACCCTTGAACTGCCAACACCTGTCCTTTTTCCTGCTTGCTTGAAGTCATCTATGCAGCAGGTCCGGGTGTTTGAAGCTCATTTGCACAAAGAGGCCTACGGCAGGTGTAGAAAGGCAAAGTCCAGTGCAAAGGCTTCCGAACCATGCAGCTGCACTGATAGCACGCCACCCCCGTGCGAGTGCAATAGGCACTGAGTGGATTGCAGGTGCAGTCGTGAATTCAATCATCAAAACAAACTTGCTTATTTTGGGGCTTGATGGTGGCATTTGCCGGGCAAATGAGTGTGTCGTTTGTTGAGGGTACGCCGTTTTGGGTGGTTCAAGAGGAAGCCGAGGAATCTCTGCACTCAGTTTCAGAGTTGTGGATAAACCCCCATGTTGAGCCCACGCGCATAGGGGCTTTCAGGCCGAAGGGAGAGCAAGCGCAATTGAACGCAAGCTGTCTTCCAAAATCGCTACGTTCAAGCAATGCCAAAAACGGGCTGATGCCGCTTCCTGGGATGTGGAGTCCATCGCGTGGCCTGGGCACCAAGGAAGAGAATGCTGCCAGAATATGGGAAGTGGCTTAGTAGCTTGCTGTCCGCAAAGCCTGAGCTCAAGGCAGGGACATTTTTGGAGAGTTTTCAATTCTGGCGTGGCACTGCGGCACTGCATGGCAGTGCACGGCTTGCAGCTTCGGAGGCGCCAGATGAGCTTGGCAGCGTGGTCCCCATTTTGGAGTGCAGCCGCGGCTTGGTATGTGCACTGTGCGGCTGGGCTTGTGGCATTTGAGTTTGGAGAATGCAGGTGAGACAAATGCAGAGGAATTGCAAGCAAAGCTTTCGTGAAGAATGGGTCGTTGCAAGTAGCAGCGGTAACTCTAGTCGGTGCGGCTCAGGACAATCCTTCCTGCACAATTCTTTGCACCCCATCCAAGCAGACCTCAGCAACGGCGCTTCGCCGGTTTGTGCCTCCTTTGCATTGCGGCCCCCTGATAACCTGCGTTCTTTGCTGGGCATTGTTAGTTGGGCTTTGTGGACTGTCCAGCAGTTTGAGTCAACAGCGGGCTAGGACTCATCTCCGTATTTGGGAATTTGACTGCTGCGCAGGTGGCGCTGCCAACTGCGCTACAATGTGAGGCTTTTAGGCTTGTGTCACTGAATGCGTCGGCATGGGGTATCCCCAGCTTGGTTCCCTGGCTCACAAAGTCACCACTAGTCTTCTAGGCTTGCCGATTGGGGCAGCGCTGCATTTGGACTTCATGTCATCAGCCAAACCCACACCAAAATCGCAGTCCTGGCGATTGCAGCGCTTCCCAAAGGCGGCCGCAAGCCATGGGCAGTGGTGAGATTTCACCACAGGCGCACCAACATTTTCGGCGGCTTTTTCTAGTTTCCAATGACCGCCTGCAGGCTTCAGGGAGAGGCATAGCAGCTCTGTGTAAACATCACAGCTGTTATGGGGGACGTTTCCGCACTTATGGAGTGTTGCACTTATATACACGCCAAGGGGCCACTTATTCAAGCCATGTTTGGCCAGTGCTTGGACCGTTCGCCCCGCCATCTCGCCCCTGGAGAGCTCCCCAGGCGCCAAAAAGTCGCCTCAAGTACAGACGGTTTCATCTCCGAGAGATGAGGCCGATGAATCGCCCAAGTGGGTCCAGAGAAAATTGAGCCGGTTTGAAGGTGGGGCGGAGTTCCATGGTCCAATGGTGGATGTCTCTCTGTGTGCGATGGGGTTTCTACGCCTGCGGCAGGCGGGCGTGCTGCGTGGCAAGGCCATGCCCACCAGCGGCTTTGTAGTGGGCTTCTCTCTTTGGTGTAGCTTTACTGCCATTTAGCACCTATAGCGCCTATATGCGAAGAACCCATTGGGTCTGGCAGAGTCCACGAGCCCGATGCCAGGAGAAGGCCTTGCCTAGTGGTGTCCTTGCCAGCCTTGGGAGGCGGTACCTGTTTTCGCCAAGGATGAAGCACCAATTTTCGGGCTTCACCGATTTCCATGAGACAAACTCCCTCTGGCAGGGGCCTGCTTTCCATCCATCAGGCTGGCGCCCTGGCTCCTCAGAAACTGAAGCGATGCTTTCACATTTTGCAGGCGCCCACTAATAGCCCCGGCTCTGTCTTGTCCCGGGCGTGCCTGGCAGCCCTTCTTTCTGCTGTGGTCCACTTTTGTACGCGGGTGACCGCCTACAGCATTGACATGCTGGATGCTTGTTTCTGTAGTTTGCAACGTGATGTATTTATCAACCATGTAAAACCCCAATGCATGAATGTCTCACTTGCGCAGTCTCATCATTACGACTGCGCGTGGCTCAAGGAAAAAGCGCGCTGTAGGCAGGGTTCATTGTTGACCCTTCCCGGTTGTTTAACCTGTTCTATAGGTTATCAGCCGTAAGCGGCTCTTTGTACAGAGTTGTACGCCATGGATGGCGATCCTGGACTACCCCATACTGAGGTGCGTCCCACACCTGATGAGCCCGCAGGCGATGAAGACGCCTCGCAATACGAACCGACTAGTCGCGCGAACTCCCAAGTGGCCAGGGAGCTCATCAGGAAGGGACAGGCACTGAGCAGTCAGGGCCCCGAATCGCTTCGATCTCGAAGTGACCGTGGGAGGACTGGGCGGTCTGGTGCTCGATCTCCTTCACCTGTTGGATCAGATCGGCATCGGCATGGTGACATCGTCATGTACGACCCCCAGACCGATCTCGCAAGGGGAAACCCTATGCCACAGTCCATGAATCAGTTCAATCAACATGTTGCAAACGTTCACCTCGATCCTTCGATGACGATCAACCAGGAGGTGACAAACTATCAGCAGGTCAACGCTACTCAGAACAATGCCCAGTTCAACCAGTTCGTGAATCAGGACACCGGTCCCATGGTCGCCCAGATGGCGGAGGCAAGGCATGGTGAGATCATTGCCGGACTTCAAAGCCAGTCGGAGGCCATGAGACGCGAGATTCAGATGAATGCGGAGCAGCGTGTGAACACCATGAAATCGGAAAGAGAAGCCGAGATGAAGTACCAAAACGCCATGAATACGATCAGCGAGCAGGAGAGACAGATCAGGGAGCTAAGAGCTATGGTCGAGCAGATGATGCAGAATCAACAGCAGCCGCCTGCTCAACCTGCTCCGGCCCCTGCACCTCCCGTTCAGCAGGCACCAGCTACCCCCTTGGCTATCCCAACAATTCCTTTGGCCGCATCTCCACCCGGACTTTCGAATGCTTCCTCGCACAGTTGGACGAAGGTCGGGAGCGACCCCTACGGCGAAGACGGATCCGTTCCCGCCGGGGCCGTGGACGATGCTGCTACCGGAGACGGTTGGCCTGGCGATGATGGTGATGGTGGAAATGACAAGGACAAGAAAAAGAAAAAGAAGAAGAAGAAGAAGGACCGTAGCCGACGCCGGCGACGAGATCCATCATCTTCTCCCTCGTCATCTTCATCATCAACTTCGACTGCGTCGGATGAATCCTTTCGACGAAAGCTACTGAAGCACTTAGGTAATTCGAGCGATCCGACAGCGGAACGCGTTCGTGTAAAGGAGGGTGACAGAATTCAGATTCCCCGATTCCCGAAGCCCGAACAGTACCGTAATTGGAGGATCAAAGTTAGGGATGCTGTTGTTGCTACCTCCGATCAACCCGAGAAGGCATTTGAGTGGATTGAGGCAACTTGGATCCCAGGTCAAACTGTTGAAGTCCTTCGTGATTCAGGAATGTTTGTCCATCTTGACGCAAAGCTGGCATCGGCGTTGACGAACATCTTGGAGGGCGACCTCGCGCGGCAAGTCGACATTTTCAAAGAACAAGAAGCAAAGGAGAAACGCTACGCGAGGGGACGTCAAATTCTTTTGATGATTCACAAGCACTTCAGCACGAACATCAAACATGGTGCAATTTACGACTTTGAGGACTTGCTCTCTGCCCAGCTCATCAACGAGGACCTCAAGAACTTCATGACGAGATGGGACACGGTCATCGCTGGAATGGGCAATGAGCAGAACGAGAAGACCCTCGAAGCGCTCTTCCACCGCCAGATTCGAAAGTTTCGGCCTCTCAGTCACGATCTCAATGAATATGAGCGGGCTGAGGAAGGGACGGAAAAGCACTCCTATAAATTCTTGATTGACGCATCGAGGAATTATTTGGAGCGGAAGCGGCTTGTTCACATGCGGGATGCTATGTCGAGCAACACGACGGGACGTGGCAGGACTCCATCGAACAACCCTGCAGTTCCTGGAGTCCCCAAGGGTGTATGTGTGAAATTTCAAACTGGCCAGTGCACCTATGGTTCAGACTGCCGATTCGAACATGTTAAGGCACCGAAAGGTAAGGGGAAAGGCAAGAAGGGCGGATCAAGATCCCAGACGCCAAGGAAGTATCGTTCGCAGAGTCCCCCTGGTTCAAAGCCCCAGGTGTGCAAGTTCTTCAAAGCGAACAGATGTGAGAGAGGGAAAGACTGCCCATGGCAGCACCCCGCAACTTCCAAGGCAGCTCCAGCCCCAAAGGCCGACAAGAACACTAGTGGAGATACCCCCAAGACATCGCCGAGAGACAAAAAGAAGAAGAAGGGTAGCAGGCCTTCTTCTCAGGATTCGAAAGATTCGAAGGGTTCTCAGTCCCTCAAGTCTCCGCGATCGTCAAAAGGCAGCAATGCCGCGGTGTGCCTCCTCCAGGCGATGGTGTGCGCCGCGACCCTCGACTCGGTCGCCTCGCATCCTTGCTTGCCTAGTGTGAGTCACAATGTTTTCAGGGTATGCAATGTATTAAGAAGTGTGTGCAATTCTCAGACTACCCATCTATTGCGAACTATGAGACTGACGGCGAGCTCTGGCCCTACACTGCCTCGTCGAGAAGGTTTGCGCATGAGTTTCCTGTTGATTACATTCCAAAGTTCGATGAGAGAGCTGTTTCAGACGCAACTCTTGTCGGTGCTATGCATGAAGCTATGGTGAAGG